GATTGTGAAAGTGCTTGATTCTCCTGGGTACAATTGGACATGATCTGTATTCTCCTCATAACTCATTGATTTTCTCATTGTTGATACCCTGGACTTTCTGGACAAATTCAACTTTACTGACAAGGTTTCACTCTCAAGAATTTGTTTTTTGTTTTTTTGTTTTTTTGTTTTTTGGCCTCTGAAGACATATTCTTGCCAGAGTTCTTTTTTTTAAACATGAAGGACCTGACGACATTTAAGAAGACTTCTATTTCTGAATCTATATTGTTGGCAGCTGAATCAATAAGAATGGTATGTCTTTTCATCTGCATTAGAGTTGAAGTTTCCATGTCAGGATTGAAAAACAAGAGAAAAATTTTTAGTTAGTTACATAGAGCTTTCTAAAAACATGTTCTCAGAGACCTGATGCACAACTGTAAAGTCTTGTTCAGTGTTTTACCTACTGAGCACCCATCTTAGGCCTATTATTATTATTATAAGACAAAATGAATCTTCTCTTCTTTTTTTTTTCTTAATTTCTACTATATAATAATTACCATGGTGTATTTATTTTTTATATCTTTAAGTGCCATGCTCTATAATAGGAATGGAGGTAAATAAACTTAAGGTAGTAAATTACTTCCCTGAGTCATTTTAATAACCTGTTCAAATACTTATTTTTTATTTTAGACAAAATGAACCATTCAAATTAATCTGATCCCTTACTATATTTCTTAGCCTGCAGTCTTATTTGTTCATGCCTTTCTTGCGAAGCATTCAGAAATCTTTATCTACTAAGCGATCATTTTGCCTCAACTTGGTCTTGAGATAGGCTTTGTTGTTGCCATCTTTGTCTTTCTCTTGCTAATCTTTTTTTTTTCTTTTGAGAAATGTTTCCATTTTCTATTCACTGTTATATTAAACATGTAAAATTTTTAACATGAATACACGTTGATATAATACCAAGAATAATAAATGAATTGTAGATATCATTGTTCATCTAAAAAAATATAAGAGGAATGGATTTTTTGTTTTTTTAATTCACCCCAATCAAGGTGATAAATCTACAAAGGGCTACTGGGAGTGAAAAAGAATGAAAAGACTTTAGAAGGAACCAGAAACCCAATCCTAAATATGAAACAAGAGATAAACCTTGACCCCTGTTCAAAAGACTGGGGAGGAGTGTGATGATAGGTACACCTATCTACTCCTGTTAATTAAATGTTTCATTGGCTTCTATTTTAGTTGTGAATTCTGGTTCTCTGCTTTCTTGAATACATTGTTTCAAAGCTTTTTACTGTATCTCAGTATAAAACTCTCCAAAAATCACCGTCATTTTTGACAGTACATGTACACTGGTATCTAATATTACGCTGTCTAAAGTTAACTTGATCTAACCATAATAAATAAATACAGATATTGTCTCACATCATTCAATTACTACATGCAAGATGACTTAAGTCAGTTTTTGATTTTTGATTTTTTTCAATCGCTTTCTTCTTTTTTTTTTTTTTTTTTTTTTTTGTTTTGGTTAGATGGGTTCAAGGGAAAAGTATTGACATATCTACTTTGAGTAACTAGTTCCTGCTACAAACACCTACACTGTCTCTCTTCTCTCCCTTCTTCTCTTGGTATCTTGCTCAGAGCAGAGGTATTTCTGCATCTTAACTTGTGACAGATCAATTAACCTCATGGAGAAAGGGGAAAAAAACAGATCAAGAAAGAAATAGAATGTAAAATTAAAAAATACTAAAGTATCATTTTTTATTTTTTACTACTTAATATTTCCTTAAGAGCTTTGATCAACTGATCACTCAACTGGAAATTTTTGGTTCTAAATTTCGTTCTATACAAAATGGTGAGAAAAATGAATGAATTGCCATTTTCTTGTTGCCATTATTGAAACATTTTATTTAGAATTTACTAAATATAATTTTTTCCTGGAATGAGGAGTTATCATTATTTACATTCAGACTAATGTCCTCATCTTTGTTGTTATTCTCTCTGGATTTATGGGATAGAAGAGAATATGACTAAGGATTGTGTATATACCATCCCATGCAGCTGTGGTAAGAAATATAAAAGAGAAACAGGTCGCCTTCTTAAGGTAAGACTGCAAGAACATTGTAAGGTCATAGTATGAGGTGAAATAGAAAAATCAGGTGTAGCTAAGCACGTATGGAGGGAAAAGTGAGATTATTGCCCCCATGAGATCAGGTTGAAATAATAGACAGAGAACATCACTGGAAAATATGAAAAGGAATCAGCACATATGCTAGGCCACAAAAATCTCCTGAACTGGCCAAGCATAGAAATGAATATAATATGGGAACCAGCAATATGAAGTGCTAGAGAAAAAGCAATAATAACAGCAAAAATTGCAATATGAGCTTGGGTAAAAAAATTTGGAATCGAGACATTAAGTTTATAAGTCACAATAATTCATGCACTGATGTCCTCAAGGACACAGTGGATAAAAGCATTGGTTGGATCCAGTAACTTAACCTAAAGACTTGTGAGTTCAATACCTGCCTACTGCAGTGGTGAACAAAAACTTAGAAAGTTGAGTTAAAGGGAGATAAAAGGCAATGCATGGCACATGAAACTAGAACAATCTACCTCAGTGGAGGAAATAAAGGGTTCAGTTCGAAATTCCAACCAACTGAAGTAGTCTGGAATGTACAATGACTGAAATGTTGTGAATATGGTAATAGATAGAATAACAACAAAGATGAGGATAACAGTCCAAATGATGTAAATGATTACAGTGCCTCATCTCAGAAATATAGACAGCTGTCCTTATCTTTGTTGTTCATCTCTGAATTTAAGATGAGGAGTTATCATTATTTACATTATTTATATTTAGACTAATATCCTCATCTTTATTGTTAATCTCTCTGAATTTCTTGACTGAAGAATCATTATTTACATTCAGACTGATGTCCTCATTTTTATTATTATTTTGTTTGAATTTCTGGGATGAGGTGTTATTATTTACATGGTTTTTCCATTGCATGACTTCAAGCATGCTACTAGATTGGCAACTAGGTCTCATTTTTATTGTTGGATTTGCTAGATGTAACTATGTTCCATTCTAATATTTGTTTCTCTCATACTTCTCACCTCAGAAACTGTTTTCTGATTTCTTTCTTCCCTGTCACCTATGATCTTGAAAAATTTAAATGCAACACCAATCACCATCTCTTCTGTTTTCCTGAATCTTGTTCTTTTATTGTCCTTTCTCTTCACTAAAGTCTCTTTATTCTATTTCATTCTCAGTATCTTCTGCGTCTTAGTTGCATTATCACCTTGCTTGGGGTGAAACAATTAAAAAAAACTTTCTATTCATAAAAACATGATTTTTCTTAAGGAGGACAGATTGCAAAAGTAACTTGTTTAATTTAGGCTACTTAGTTTGTTGGTTGGTCAATACAGAATCAATAAATCTTAATTTCTGTGATTAGACCTGACTGAAAACTATAAATAACTGTAATTGTCAAATCAATTACGATTGTTGAACAAAAGAATAATTGATGTGTAAGACAAGCAGTACAGTTTATATAATGTGCTTTTCCCTTTGAGTTATAAAACATATGAAAACTATTTTTTACAGTTAAGATGAGATTTCATTTTTATTATTCAAATATAAAATAAATCCAGTTCCTTCTAATGTCTACTTCAGTTTTATATTTCTAACACCTCCACCAAAAACTCTGAACATTTATTTACATTTTTATTTCTTTAATAGGAGTAGATAGGTTTGCCTGTCTTCTGGTTCAAACTCCTCCCTGGTCTTTTGATCAGTAGAGGTTTATCCCTTGTTTCTTGTTTAGGATTGGGTCCCCTCTAAAGTTTCTTCTCTTTCACTTTTGGTGGCCTCATCACTTTATTTGGGGTGCTGACTCTTACTGTGTGACCCACTACCTTGAGTGGTTCTTGAACCTTATACAGGGTGTACAAGGTGAAAAAAAAATTCTAATTTACCACATTACAAAGTTATTCTGCTGTAGTCATGTTAAAGGGAGATAACTCTTTATTAACATATTAAATTAATACTCAACTTAGCATGGTATAAAGCCAATTTAGAGAAATGTGAAAAAGGAAGATTGTGTTGTGCCAATCTTCCTTGAGACCTCCCTGCCTTCAAAATCAGCCTTTGAAATTTTGACCTTTTACCTGGTCTTGAACACTAACTTCTAGCACCAGTTGGAAATATGAAACTAGCAGGCTATAGTCAAAATAAGATTAAATATCATGTTTGTCCTGTAATACTTGTTACATTTAGTATATGAAATGTGCATGCAAATGTAACAACTATTATGGGACACAAGTTGTAGTATTTATTATAGTTTCATTATGATGCAAAAATGACAATAATGTCCTCATTTTCCAACCTTGACAGAGTTCAAAAGCGTTTACACAGCTTTGTGGGTGATGAATTATTTTCAACCCTACAATCCCTTTACCACAGATAAAATGTTGCAAGCTTATTGCTACTCTGTTCCTATTTCTAAGGCAAATGTTCAGACTAACGATGTTCATTAGTTCCACCAATTCAGACCTTTACAGCCAAGACTCACCATTCTGCATACATTCATTCCCTTTCTATTCCATTAGTAAGGAGGAAGTTCCACTTGGACTGTTTTTTTCCTGAGAACCACTATTTTGTGGAACAAACTCTTGAGAGGTTACTTCCATGACTAGAACAATCTTAACCTTTTCAAGTTTAGGGTCAACTCTGACCAATCCTACATATCCTCATAATCTGCATTTCCTCCTGTTAGGTCCATACAAAAATCTCATTCAATAACTCTCTAGCTTGAGTGGCTCTTTGGCCTTGTATTGGATGGACATTTAATAAAAAAATATTGAACATTATTTTATATCAATGTTACATACCTTATTTTCACTGCTTTCATTTTTCTTCATTTCTTGTGTTTTTATTTTTTTTTTTGTCTATTGCCTTATTTATTTTTATTTTTTGTTTTTTAGGCTTTGAAGACTAAAACAAAAACGGTAAAATGCTGGGCACCAAAATCCTTTATGGCCCCGAAGAAGACAAATCTGGTTGGCTGCTCGTCTTGTCCGCATTCCTTAATCAAATGATTGCCATCGGTAGTGGCTTCTCTTTCGGAATTTATCACCTGGAATTCAGGAAATACTTCCAAGGGACATCAGCAGAGATTTCTTTGGTGAGCTCCACTTGTATAGGAAGCCTCTTGGGCGCTGGTAAATATCTTATCTTTTTCTTGGAAATTCCCAGTCATAACTGCGAACATTTATTAAATATTATGAACAATAAAAATGTTTCTATGAGATTTTGGTATCTGAAAAACTGAAGAATTTAGAGGATAATAACTACAAAAGTTTAGCTTTGTTTTCACTGCTTATTTGCTGATATTTGCTATGAGATATTGACTTATCATAAGAAAATCTTTAATATCTTTAAAATTTCTCTTGTGATTTAAAGCATGAATCAAATGTGTTCTACAATCAGAAAAGTTGTCATAGAAATTCTGTTACTTCTAAAATGTATATATAAACATTTTCAACAAGGCACCTATTTTCTAAGGTACTCCCTGTCATTATAGTAAATCCAATTGAATTTCCAACTTTAAACATAGTTACATAAGTGAAACATTTAAATAATATTTTAATGTTTATATTATTAATAATAATAATAATAATAATAATAATTAATTCAGCCAACTTACTATTTTTTTTATCTCATTTAAATAATTCAGCCCATTTTTAAGAAAATGTTAGGGGGGGTGTTAACTTACTTTCCTCTATAAAGGAAGATAAATCAAAATAAAATTGAGTTATGGCCCTTGTTCACTAGTTGGACTGCAACACTTCTGAATTCCACATGGTGATAAGCTGACATGCATGTGGAACTCCTGGTTTAAATCCAAATAAATCCTTGCTGTTCTCAGGCAGTAAATGAATAAAAGTTATTTTATTATATGTTAAAATACATTTGTCTTTTATTTTCATTTATTTTTGTTCATCTCAACAACCTGGGATATAATAATCTTTTGGCAACAAGGTCTAACTTCAAAATCAACATGCCAATTTCGCCAGAGATATTTACGGAGATTTTATGCCAATGGCAAGAGCATTTTCAGAAGTTACAACAATAGTTATTGAAAGCAATAACTGCACAATTCCAGAATCAACTGGTAATTTTCCGCGCTGGAACAAACCAAAATACCAATTCCACAGATATCTTGGCCAACAACATCACAGAATTCCACTATGACCCAGCGAGCAGAAAAACATTCCCTTTATGGTTTAAACCTTTCACACCCAACTTTTCTCACAAAGATGAAAAATGGAAAATTTGCCTCCTAATTCTTAAACTGGGCATTAAGAAACATGACCATTATATGAATTCTATTTTACCAAAGCCAGCAATGAAAAAGTGGAACAACTCCGTGAAATATTCGAAGAAAAGCATTCTTTAATATTCGATTGAATTGTTTAAAATTAACAAAAGATGTCACTGACAATTATGTGACATTTGCTGGTCACGTCAATAGGAAATGTAAAAAATTTAAATTAAGTTCCCTCAGAGAGGAACAGTTTAAATGTTTCATTTTTATCGCAGGATTAAAATCTTCTACTCATGCTGATGTTCGAACCTGACTTCTTTCAAAACTAGAACAGGACAAAGACATTACATTAAAAGTCTTCACTACTGAATCCAAAGATGTATCTTGCATAAAAATAAACACTAGGTTGTTTAAAACCAAAAAAAAATGATGATTTATCAATAACCAGCAACAGCCATGTGAAAAGACATCTAGTGTCAAAAAGAAACCTCCTTCAAAATTTTGACGTTGTGGAGACATTTTGCACGTTTTGTCTATTCAAGAAATATAAATGCAATATCTGTCACTGAAACAGACATAAAGAAGAGTATTTTGCAATCCAAATTCACACAAAAATTCAACTTGAAAAAAGTCCAAAACAAACATTGTTTGTGGCATTCAAAGTTGATTACGAATTCTGCAGAAAATATATTGTTGTTTTTGTAAACTACAGACCAGTTCGTTTCCAGTTTTATACAGCGTTGGACATAACGTTAATATCACATTCGACTTGGGAATAGATTGGAAAGTCATGCCTGTCTGAAACCAATCATGTAGCAATGAGCACATCTGGAAGTACAATTTGTTTAACTGGTGAGTTAACTTGCGATGTTTCCTTTCAAAATAGAACATTTTATGGTTTGTGTTATGTCCCAGATAATCCAAAATTAAATTTAATTGGTCTTGACTGGATAGGACAACTTAACCTTTTTGAAATTCCTCTCAAATCTGTGTTCAATACATTTAACCTCACTGATAGTGAAAATCATTTTATGGATGAATTTAAGTTTAGTGGTGATTTTCAAGATGGACTTGGGTACTGTACAAAAATTAAAGCTATTCTGAAATTAGAAATAGATTCTAACCCAATTTTTAGACAAAAAAGGCCTGTACACTATGCTGCTTTGAATATGGTTGAAAAAAACTGCAACATCTTCAGCAAGAAGGTATAATAGAGCCTGTTAATTATTCCGCATGGACAATTATTGTAGTTGTTAGGAAAAATCTGGATATGTGCTGATTACTTGACTGGTTAGAATGATTCTTTGAATGCACATCATTATCCACTTCCAGTGCTGGAGGATCTTTTCACAAAACTTAATGGTAGAATTTGCTTTACAAAGATTGATCTTTTTCTGATGCTTTTCTTCAAATGGAAGTTGACAAGAGTTCAAAGAGCTCCTTACTGTCAACATCTACAAGGATTATTCAGATTTAACCATCTTAACTTTGGTGTTAAACCGGCACCAGCCATTTTTTAACTAACAATGGATGCCATGCTGAATGGATTGACATGAGTTGCAGCATTCATCATTGACATCATTGTTACAGGAACAAATCAAGATGAACTTTAGCAACATTTATTTTCTGGTTTCAGCCGAATTCAACAATATAGATTCCATGTTAAAGCTGAAAAGTGTGAATTTTTCCATGAACAAATAAATTATCTTGTTTTTTTTTTTTCGACAAAAATAAACAACCAGACCCGGAAAAATAAAAAAAGCATGCCAACACCGACAAATGTAACAAAATTATGTTCTTTCCTTGGCTTGGTTAGCAACTACAGTGCTTTTTTTGTTTGAACTATATCAAGTTTGTGCATCCCTCAGCCATCTTTGAAGTAGTCTGATGCGTGTCAGATAGCCTTCAAAAAAAGGTAAAGCCCTTACTTTCTTCCAATCTTTGGTTAACGCATTACAACACATCCTTGGATATTGTGGTGGTCTCTGATGCTTCCAACTATGGTATTGGAGTTGTCATTTCTCACATGATGCCAGCCAAAAGGTAATAGCTTTACAAAGGTGAAATGCTGAAAGTCTATCAAGAAAGATGAAATATTCTAAGAATCTGGAAAATGTGCCAACAAAAGTGAAATGTTGTAAGAACTTGGATGTAAATTTACTGTGGAGGATCTAACGATTAAACCATTTTTGTCTTAGTAAGTTGCTTTCTCTTTTAATTAAATTAGCATTTTCTAATATTATGCTCTGATTCATTATGATGAGCAAGTAATAGTCATATATATATATATAAAAAGCTGATAAATATTCATACAGACTGTTTTGATTTACTGATATAAGATGGGGACACACAGACAAAATTTAGCCTTGCACGAACTTATAAAAGAAAAGCAAAGAACATTTTCTCCAAGTAGTCAGGTTTGTCTGTATAACTATTTATCAAGAAACAAAAGTGTTGATAAGCTGTAAAAACTAAATCAAGCAAGGAAACTGATTTTTAAACAACAAAAAAAAAGATTCTACTTTTTCTCAATCTCATATGTGCAAAACACAAGTAATAAGCTTATTTACATGTGAAATATTGTCCTCATCTTTGTTGTTATCACAATGTTTCTGCTATTGTACCCTTTAGCCTTCATCAGTAGTATGTTGCTCTGGTTTACCTATAGGGAATTTCCCACTGAACCCCTTATTTAATTTGTTGGTGTATATTTGTTCTCATTCCACTGACCATGCTTAGGGATATCTCTAGAGTAACTTAAATAAACGGATCAGTTTGGAATTTCCAAATCAACATCCATCTGATGAAGGCTGGAGGGCACAATGACCAAAAACTGTGTTAACAAAAACTAAGACAAGAACAATAGTTGCCATGTCAATAATGTAAATAAGGATAACTCTTCATCCCAGAAATTCAAAGAGAATAACAACAAAGATGAGGATACTATTCTGAATGTAAATAATGATAATTCCTCATCCCAGAAATTCAGAGAGAATAACAACAAAGATGAGGATATTAGTCTGAATGTAAATAATGATAACTCCTCATCCCAGATATTCAGAGAGAATAACAACAATGATGAGGATATTAGTCAGAATGTAAATAATAACTCCTCATCCCAAAAATTCAGAGAGAATAACAACAATGATGAGGATATTAGTCTGAATGTAAATAATGATAACTCCTCATCCCAGAAATTCAGAGAATAACAACAATGATGAGGATATTAGTCTGAATGTAAATGATAATTCCTCATCCCAAAAATTCAGAGAGCATAACAACAATGATGAGGATATTAGTCAGAATGTAAATAATGATAACTCCCCATCCCAAAAATTCAGAGAGAATAACAAAGATTAGGATATTAGTCTGAATGTAAATAATGATAATTCCTCATCCCAAAAATTCAGAGAGAATAACAACAATGATGAGGATATTAGTCCGAATGTAAATAATGATAATTCCTCATCCCAGAAATTCAGAGAGAATAACAACGAAGATGAGGATATTAGCCTGAATGTAAATAATGATGACTTCTCCTCCCCCAAATTCAAAGAGAAAGTAATAAACTTGTTTACTCTTTTCTTGGTTCTTATACTTTGTATTTAGTTAAAATCCTAGGAAATATTTTTGCTAGAGTTATTTGCTCATGAATTTCAATTAATTTATTGTTGAATTTTGTGACAAGAGAAGTTTAAATCTCTAAAGATCTGTGGACAACTATTTTAATTAAATATTAATTAGAATAATACCTATAAAAAATGACAATAGACATGTATTGGCTCTTCTTCCTGGGATCAATCCATTTCCCCCATTCTTGTTCCTTTGATTGGTGTAATATATGTACTCTGTGAAATGTTACACCCATGCATATTATATATTGCATGTATTTAC